TGGGGGTGGTGTTGTGGGACGGTGACCCCCCCCGGGCGGAGGTTGTGGTTGGGGGTGGTGCTCTCTATGTGTCCCTCTCTTACCTGTGAGTAGACATAGAGTGGGAGGACGAGCACAGCGAGCAGCAGGTCAGACACGGCCAGGCTGACGATGAAGAAGTTGGTGGTTGTCCTGAGCGGCTTCTCGGTCCAGACGCTGAGACAAACCAGTAAGTTCCCGGCGGTGATCAGGAGGATGAGGAAAGTGCCGAGAATCAGAGCCGGCAAATCACGTCCCGGGGACTGGGAGCCCGGCTCAGTCTCATTCCTGCTCACATTGTTCATCTCTCCAGCTCCTGGGATCCCGGCAAGTGAGTGCAGTGCCCGCATCTACCTGCCCCGGGGACCCCTCACATCTCACCGCCTCCCGGAGCCCAGACAGCCGTCCCGACCCTGCGGCACAAAACACAGCCCAGAGAACCCCCCCCCTCCCAAAACACAACCCAGAGAACCTCCCTCCCAAAACACAACCCAGAGACACCCCTTCCCAAAACACAACCCAGAGACACCCCCTCCCAAAACACAGTCCGGGGAACCCCCTCCCAAAACACAGCCCAGGGAAACCCCCCTTTCAGAACAGAGTCCTTAAGCTGGGAGGTACCTAAGTCTAACCGCAGAGACCCGAAACTTGACCCTTAAAGCGAAAGCCCGCACAGACCCCGTCGTCACGTCACCGAGACACTACACCTGGGCAGGGAGCCCCGAACAACCAGAGACACCGAGCACACCCGATTTTAAGCCCAAATTTACCCCTATTACGTGCCCAAAAGCCAGAGGCAGATACTACATAAATATCTATACACCAGAGACATTGCAAAACCAGCCTCGAGACTCTAAAACCCAGGCAGCGAAACCCCCACAACCGAGGAAGACGACCCAGGCTCAATCTAGTGACCCCCGAATGGCTCAATTATTCCTCAGACTCTCCCCGAGAGCACAGACTGAACACCTTTACCGCCGTTTAAAGATCTCCATCGCAATCCTCTGCCCGGTGGCTAGTCCGTTTTCAGTCTCCTCCTCGCTCCCGGTATCGGTTTGGTTCTTTTCCTCAGCCTGTGGAATACTGACTGATGGTTCACGGCGCTCCGCCAGACTCCGTTAATGCTCCGAAATTGGAGAGCGTGCTTTAAATCCTGCTCCGGCTTACAGCAGACAAACCTGTACAGGAACACACTCAAGCAGCTCATACTCTAAATATATCGATAATCTCCAGGTGTGTCTATGTACAGATATCCCCTCAGGTAGCTGGAACATCCCAGAGTTGCTATTTGGATGAAAATTAGGGAAGTACATTCTCATTTTCTGGACTATGTTGATCCCTCAATCAACATCTGACTTTCATCGCATTTCTCCTAATGGGATCTTGCTGCGTGCAAATAGATTGGTGTTTTCTGCATTATAATGTACTTAATTGACTTTAAAGCACTTGGCAGCGGGGTCACCCCTATAGAAATGCAAGTTCTTTTTAAGATAGAGATATAGAAAGTTAAAAGTTTAAGAGGAGATACATACCTGCAGTGAGACTGTTCATCTGCAGTACATGATGGTAGCTGAACTACAGGATACACAGTAGTTTGGCATTCGTTAGAGTAATAATTAGCAATATTGAGAATGCTGTGATCTTGATGATGAGGGACTTGTGTAAATCCAGAGAAAAGCTATTGTTATGAGACTAAACAAAGTTGCTTGCTGAAAGAGCTAGCAGAGCACAATAGGCTGAATGGCTTCCTTTGTACCATAAATTCTGAAAGAGTTGGGATCTCTGCAAGCTGGACAGGTTGCACCTGAACAGAGTAGCAATTTATTAGTTGCACTGTGGAGGGTTAAAACTAACTAGCCCAGCATTGGGAGCCAGGAGGTAATATAAAAGAAAACCTCAGTGCACAAAACATTGCAGGATTCATATAATTCGGGACCATTCAGTTTAACCTCAGTGTTGGGGCACCCTCATAAATCAGGACAAAATTCACAGTCAACCAACCAAATGAGAGTTAATTCATAAAAGGAAGAATGGATTTCATAAGGGCCATCCATGTTTAATCAACTTGCTTGAGCATCTTGATGAGGTGACAGGATGAAGGTAATACTGTTTATGCAGTATACACCGTATTCCAAAAGGTATATGATAAAATGCTACACAGGAATAAAAGGGACAATGATGAAAGCATGGATGAAAAATGATCTAAATGATGGTGAATAGTTTTGTTTTGGACTGGAGGAATGCTTATTGTAGTCTTCCCCAAGGTTTTAATACCTGTGTTCTCTCTGATATGTATTAATAACATGGAAAGCAGGGCACCAATGCAACATCTGTGAAAACGCAATAATTAAAATTGAGAACTGTAACATGGAGAATAAACTTCAAAGGAAATGGGCACACAAGTGACAGATGTAATTTAATGAATAGAAGTATGAAGTGATTCAAAATAAAAACAGGAAGTGCTAGAGGAGCAAATCAGATCTGGCAGCCTCTACAGAGAGAGAAAAGCAAAGTTAACATTTCAAGTCCAATATGACTTCTTCAGAACATATGAACTGATTCCCTGCGGTAAGAAGAATGGAGTGTGGAAGGAAATAATTCTAAAAAGACTGCAACAATGGACAATCCTGGCTGTATATGTGTAGAAATCATTGAAGGTGGCATGGCAAGTTCAAAAAGTAGCTTGCAGGACCTCAGACTCTATAAATAACAGCATAGAGTACAAAACCAAGGAAGTTGTGATAAACTTAAGAGAAACACCAAAATTAAAGCACAATTCAGTGGGTGCTATAAATCTGAACCAAAAATACAAAATGCTGGAAATACTCAGCATCTCTGGAAAGAGAAATGTAGTACAATGTGAATGAATATGTTAATACTAATGATGAACATCCTGATGTAACTCTAAGAAGAGCAAACTGGAAGCTGTCTCTGTGATATGTATTTCAAATGTTTTTAGTTTTAATTTTATATTTCCAGCATTTGGTTTTATTCTGCTTATAAATGCAGAACTTTTTCTCTAAAGTGAAGAAAGCAGTTCACTGGTAACTTTAGGTGATCTGTGTGCTTGGGCATTGGAACCTGGTGTTCAGAAGTATAGTACTTGTTTTGAAGAATTTCACAATGAAAATGACACAGACTAGCAGGCCTAGATTCTCTGATCACTGTGGAAGATTTGGAATGAATGGCAATGAAATAGTTTTCCAATGTTAGCTTGAAAAGAGCAATAGTAAATTAATACACTGTCTCACACACCATCCAATGTAAGATGGGTTGTCAATTGATAATGGTTCTTTATCGAGTGTTACTGTAATAGATGAATGAACTACCAAAGGAAAGGTGACCGGAAGAAAATATGCAGAGGTTTCTAGGTTTGGTAGTATAGTGTGCAGATTTCGTGTGGATGCTTCAAGTTGTAGTTCCCATTAACACTCACAGATCTCAAGCTGCTAATTTTTACAGATTTTAATTTTTTTGTATTATTTATTCATCAAGAAGGGACCAGTACATTGGAATAGCAGGAGGCTATTTGGCACCTCAAGGTTCTTCCACCATTCATTGTGATCTTGATCTTATTCCATATAAAGGTAAAGTGACATAATCCTAATGGACAATAGGGCTGCACTTTCATTAGTGAAAGATGACTGGTAAAGGTTTAATCTGAGGGTCACCACACCTCATGTGAGGGGAGAGGTTGAGAAGGAGAGTCCTTCATGGTAATCTCAGCTGTGTGGGAATGGAACCCATGCTGGTGGCACTATTCTACATCGCAAATGGCCAACAGCGCGGGTTCAATTTCTACACATGAAGGACTTTACACTTTACCATCTATATTTATTGACAAAGAAACAGATTTGTGATATTTTACAAAATCATGTAGACAATTGTTAATGTCAGACCTGTACAAGTCAGAACTCAGATAGGAAGATATCTTGATAACCCATAAATTTTATTTTTGCAATTTGCTTACAATGATGGTCAGTCAATAAATATATTCACAAGAGGCTGCCAGTGTATCTTTAACAAAAGAAAACAAGTTTATTACACCAAATGAAAAAACAGTGGTAAGACAATTTTGAAAGCTCTTACCTCAAACAATAAAATAAAAATCCCATATCTTTTCCCAGCAGTATCCTTTGAAAATACTCAACCCCAGTAAAGTATCACTCATATCTTCACTTTATAATTTATTACTCAACTGTCAAGGGGTAAGCAGTTCCATTTAGAAACTTGCTGCACATTCAGCAGATGTGATTCTGTCTGTTACTATCTCTCCCTGAGACACACTGTCAAAGACTAACTTACTGATTTTTCTCACTAAACTCTCAAAAAAAGCCTAAGATCCTAGATTGTCCTGCATCTCAGAACTATGTAATCTATCACAATTGTGATATTATGCTTCCTTGTTATTTTTATTGTCAAAATGGAAAATTTTACTTTTCCACATTATGTTCCATTTGTTAGATCTTTGACACCTCGATCAATCTATTTATATCTTTTTGTAGCCTCCTTATGTCCTCTTCACAACTTACATTTCTATCAATCTTTATTTCATCAGCAAATTTAGCTACCATACCTTCAGTTACTTCATCCAAATCACTTAAATAAACTGTAAAATGTTAAGGCCTCAAAAGTTGAGCAGCACATCACTTACTACATCTTGCCAACCAGAGAATTATACCTCGTCTCTGTTTCCTGTTGTTTAATAGATCTTCTCTTCTTTCCAGCACGTTTCCCCTACTCCATTAGCTTTTATTTTCTTATTTTAATGCAACAGCTTATCAAATGCATTTTGGAAATGTAAATGCTTCCACTGGATCCCCTTTTTCCACAGGACCTGTTATTTCTTCAATTAACTCTAATACATTGGTTAAACATGATTTCTCTTTTACAAAACTGTATCAACTCTGCTTGTTTACCTCAACGTGCATTGCTACAATATCTCCAATAATGGTTTCCATTATTTTCCCTATGACAGGCATTAAAATAACTGGCTTGTAGTTTCTTGCTTTCTGTTTCTGTCCCTTTTGGAATAAAAAAGCTATTTTCTATTTTCCAACCTAACAGAACATTCTCAAATCTAAGCATGTTTGAAAATTTTAAATCAACACTTCAACTATCTCACTAGCCACTTCTTTTAAGAACCTAGAATGGAGTTTATCAGGTGCACTGAGGATAGACTTAGACTTAGAATCATAAAGTCATGGAGCTGTACAGCAAGGAAACAGACCCTTCAGTCAAACTCATCTATTTCGACCAGATATCCTAAATTAATCTAGTCCCAGTTCTCAGCCCACAGTTGCCACAATTTGCTCAATGCCAGTTCCCTAATGAATGTAATTTTCTTGAT